AGCATTCATGGAAAAGTTTTCTTCTAAGTTTCCTTCAATTTTTTTTTTCTATAATATGTTTTTAGATATATTGTGTTAACAGTTATTGTTATTATTGAATGGATATTCTATAAATATATCTGCAGATATATTTTGTTTGTTTTATTTTTTTTCTTTCACCGACTGAAGTTTTCGCTTTTTTGGGTTTTTAACAACTGATTTTGTTCAACTCAAAAATGAACCTAGAGTTAAGAATTGCAACTGTCTGAAGTTCAGCATATTCTTATCATTGGCATAAAAATATGTGTTTGCATTAAGCATTTTCGCATGTGTCGTAGCTAGACATAATAACAACGCAATCAAGTTGCGGTGACATACAAACAAATAACATAATGTATACTTGCATATACAGTCAAACCTGTTTTTGTGCTGTCTTTTTTTATGCGCTTTTTTTTGTGCGATTCTTTTTGTGCGAATCTTTTTTTTGTGCGATTCTTTTTGTGCGATTTTTTTTTTTGTGCGGAATATCGACACATTGAATTTCGCCGAGAGGTTAGGTCAATCTGAACTGTGTTGGCATCACTTTTTTTGCTATCAGTGTGTATGTACACATTGCAACAGCCATTTTCATACCTATTGCATCAGCCTATTTCATTAGGCATGCTCAATGTTCTTATGCATATATTGTATCAGCCAATTTCAATACATACTGCGCCATCTAATAACTTTAGTTAATTGCTGACCTTTTAACCATTAAGACGGGATTAATTTTATAGTGAGATTAAAGGCAAATTAATTGTTTTCCCTATTTAGATATAGTTTTTTATGATTTTTATTTTATTTTTAGTCATAAGTAGTATCTTCAAGTGACGAAAACGATTACGAACCAGTTCATCGCAAAAATATGCGCGTTTTGAACTACGACGAGTAGTATTGAATTATTACAGGTTTGCCTGTATATAATTATGCACAAAAATAATATTATATTATATGTAATGTTTTTGTTGTGTATGCAAACATATATTATGTATATTTGGGTATATGCAAGTCATGCGTACCTATAGAACACCCAAATTCCCAAAGATCTAATGAAATTTTTAGTTTATTTTCAAAATGTGTCACATTTACTGTTGGATTTCTTTAGGAACTTGTCCGTTAGAATTTTATGCATTATTTTTTTTTTAATGCCAAAAGTAACGTATTAATTAAATTAAATAAATTATTAAACGTCAAGAATTGGCAAAGTAATTCAATTGAAAAATGTTAAAAGATTCATATAGATTATTCCTATGCTGATAGCATGCAATCAAGGAGACGTATGTTACTGCAGTCACTCATTCCAGTTTCCAAAGCAAACCCTATCAAAACCAAATCCTATCAAAATTTGGAACATATCATTTATTTAGTATATTGTTTGAAACTTGCCATTATTTGTGGAATACAATATATACAGAACGTACATTTGTTTTTCAAAATTATTGCAGAATTATGAACCCACGGTTACGTTTCGTGCGTGGGGAAATTTTACAAAAATAACTTTTGAATGTAGTTGGCGGTCTGAAAATCTTTTTTTTGAACATGAAAATGATATCGCAGTTATCGTCAATAGAGAAAGCTGGAGAAACATGACAATTGATTTTTTGTAGCAAAATTTAGAAGATTTCGACTTCAACGATATGTGAATTCAACAAAATGATAAAACATAGGATAAATTTCATGCAAAATCAATTCATTGGGAGAAAAATTCAATGATCGTTTAACCCCTAAAAATGCGTTTTCAGCTTGCCACAAAGACCATGTGATATAGTTCTATTGGGTTTTTATTTTGGGGTTCTATTCAAACATTGGCTTACCCGAATAGACGAGCTCTCAATAATTTTATTCATCAAGATTTTTCGCGTTATTGGTGAAAAAGACCAGAGTGGTGTGGAAAAGTCGTAACAATCGGGGTTTCAGAAATAAATTTTTACAGACGTGCAGAGGCGGTCATTTACATTAAACCATTTTCAAATAAGAATGACATGAACTGATATCTGAAATAAAAGAAAATTCACACTGATATCTTTTAGCGTTTATTTTTTATTACGAACCTAAAAAAATGCTTATTTAATGATCCTATATTTGAACACTTGAAAATTGTTTAAGAGAGCAGAATTGATATACAACGACTGAGTTAACAATGTTATTCTCATAGCGCATATGTCTTACAATGTTTCTCCAATTCTGTGCATGAATTCATAAGCGGATTCAACCATTGTCATCCTTCAGTTGGGTAAATAAATAAAAATAATAGCAACAATAAAAGCTCAGATTTTATGCCTTCGTCTACAGAATATTCCATTTGCCCGAATCAAAACGAGTAAATTTTAAGCTGTTAAACACGTTTGTAGAAGATGTTTAACAATCGAAGAAAAGAGCCCTAAATTATAGAAAATCGTGGCGTTCAAAAATTTCGTATAGATTAATGTGTTCATGTGGACGCCAAGTTAATATGCTTATAAGGAGGGCAATGATTGCTTGGTTTTACATAATTTTTATGTTTACTCAACATATCTCGAAGCACTCATAGAGGAGTCTGTCCATATGTACGATTGCTGGGATCAAGATAGACAGACAATCGATCAGAGGGCATTTTACGTCTAATCTTTGCCCAAACTCGCGTTGTTTCTATGCCTTAAATGAAAAAAAAATTGCTGTTATCCGTCCAAACTGAAAATTTTTCGACACTAAACCTTGAGAGCAAATTGAAATGCTTAAGATCAGCTTCAAGTCCGTGAAAGAATACATACACAATTTATACTTACATACTTCAGGAATGCCAATATTATGTTAAAATAATGCATCTGTTTCATTTCTGAGTTACTGTTAAAGTGAGTCATTAGTTTAGAAGTTTTGGAAATCGGCAGAATTGTAAGCTCCTATTAAGAGTCGTACCTTCAAAAATTTGTGAAAGTTCTAGAAGGTGGTATACATATCCCCTTATCACATGAACAGCTTGGCATATACAAGAAAGAGAGCACAAAAACACAAAGTATCTTCAACACATTAACTATAATAACCAAGTAAGTACTCCGCAATGATTGAGCATCACAACTGACATTTTCTTGCATGAGTCTTAAGAAGGAAAAAGATATTGAAAGCCTAACATCCCCAATAGTTTCGTGTTTAGCTATTACTCTCATACAATTTCAATGCATTAGTCACCTGAAAACGACACTTCATATGGGCTGAAATTATGAAATGTTTATGTATTTTAAAAGTCATTACTTTGATATAACTGTGATTTCTTATTGAACGCGTATAACATAATTCAAGCCGTAAGATGTTGCATACATGATACAACTTTATTTTGAAGTTCTTAAGCGATCAAAATATTTTTTTACGTTGTTTCACTAATTTTCCATAAAATTAGTCAAGGCATTACTTGCTCTAGATAATACCAGCTAAAATTACTTTTTTTTAATAAGAAAAAAGTTATAAAAAATTGTTCAAATTGTTGTTGTTTATCTTCCAAATAATGGACTCGAAAAATTTTGGGAAGAGTTTTGAAATTGACTGCTATTGTAGACAAATTCGTTGATTTACCCCCTTTCCGGTCCCCGTTACTGAAGACTTGTTTGAAATTTTTCATGCCGTCATTATATACTGCGGCCAGCCTATATTTAAAACGTTCGGACAATATTTGAACCGTTCAGTTTTGTATTGATGAATAATGAGCAACGCATATACAATATAACGCAACTATATGCGAATGTTAATAAACATGTGCACCCACTAACGCATACACATACATGACTATCCACCAATCTTAAATTACTGACCTTTGGGGCAAGACATAATAAGAGAGGATTTGCATTGAATCTTTGATTCCCTACGTGCGTGCACAAGTACACGAGAACATGTGAGTGTGCTCTAGGTAGGATTCCAAAATTACTAGGTCTCAGTTGATATGTGATCAAGAACAAAACCCAAAAGGAGGAAGTTTTCTTAATAAATGATTTCAAAGCAACTTGTACATCATGGCTCAAAAATGAGGTGCGGCAACTGACCAGGTACGCCAGCCTGTCAATAGTTAACTGTCATGCTCGCTCAATCGAACATGGAAAATACTTACTGGAAATTATTTAGAGTTTTTCCCATTGGAGGATATGTAATACTGATTAAAACCACTTCAATCGAAGGAAGTGTGCTTTTTTTTACATGTAGATTTGCATTAAGGAAAACGTCGCTTATAGCTTCAAATAGTGATGCGGATTTCTTAACAAAGGGCACCTTTTTTTAATGATTTAATCCTAAATTTTTAAAAATACCCGAAACGCAATATGCTGTATCCAATTAGAATTGTAACATAAAACGTGTACTTTTAAATAACCAAACCAGAAAAGTTTGAATAATGCTATTTTTAGTGCCGTTCTTGTTTTACATTAAGGAATATACTACGATCAGTTTTTTTTGCACGAAAATGGTGCTAAAGTTAACAGTCTACATCACCAGAGAGAAGTGAGGACAAATTGGTATGTGGATATATATTCTTCGCCAGAAAACGCGAAGTAGAACAATTAAAAATACATTACCTTCTAAATATAATGCGATATTTGCGCGTGTTGGGATTACTTCTATTGAAAACTTATATAGTTCTGATAAGAAATCATGGCAGATTCCAGATTAACATCCGTTATGAATTTAAGTTAATTTCTGAAAATAATAGGTTTTTTCTCTACTTTTTTTTTTCTACACCCTAGTGTTTGCTAAAAATGAAATGAAAAGTAAAGATGTTAAGTTGCACATTTTCGAATTTTTGTGAACTCTAAAAGGGACCAAAAAATGCATATATGTAAGTTGACCCGAAATTTGACTCTGAATGCTTTACATACTTTACAAATCTAACCTGTTGTCATTTGTATAAAAATATTACAAAAGAATTTAAAAAATTTCCAATAAGGTACAATCCATAGATGGGCTCAAGCTAAAGATAGCCATCTCTGCTATCTATTATTATTATTATTATTTTTAATACGTACCATTCTCATAGTTTCCCGGTTGTTCATTATTACTGACTGCGTATTTTCGCTTAATTTCCTTTTCTTCAAAACAAGAAGATATGGAAATTGCTTTAAGATTGTTATTGGATTCTGCGTCCTCATACATACATAGGCGTGCAACTCTTACTCTTGTGAAATTGCAAAAATCGCCTTCGACAATCTAAGTCAACGTTCGTTCCCATGACATGTAGTTTCCTCGCATTTGTTGTTGCGGTTAATAATATCAATATCGTTGATTAGCCGAAAGCTCTAAGATTTTATTTAACGTTGCATCAATAATAATAATAACAATAACAAAAACCATTTACCCGACCGCATGGCTGCATAATTGGACAACGTGTAGATGAACCGCAATGCAACAACAAAGTTTGGATGTTTTTCATTATTGTATTAAAACGGCCGCACGGTCAACTTTATATAAATATAAAACTTGTATATATGTATATATATGTATACATACATACATATATATGTATATATATGTATACATACATATATATATATATATATATATATATTGTCTTTAAAAACTTCGCTTTAGTCTTTGTACGTTGAGCATTTTTAACGCGGCTAAACTAAGAATATACACAATTTCTTACACGTACGTGGACCTTTAGACGTGCAAATTGCTCCTCATTTTCTCTCACCTTAGGTGAATATAAGATATATTGGCTCGCTTTTTTATATTTTTCCTCAAGTCTAGTGTAACATTAACCTTAAGATTACGATTAACGTGAGCAATAGTAGTAACATTAATATTAACGTTAACAATAAGAATATACATTAACATTAACATCAACATTATTGCTATTCAATGAAACATCAGAAACTGCTTTGTCATTTTCGGGCCTACTGTAATTCATTCGCAGCACCCACGTTGCCGAATGTACACAAATACTTGCAGTTCCCAACATTGCGGAATTAGTTAAATATTTTTAACTTGATTTATTAATATTATTATTATTATAAATTTAGCGAGGGAATAAATTCTAAGACTAATGTCTTAAAGCGCTAGCATTTAAGGCTTTCGGCTTTATTAAAAATTCTACCGCACTTAAACCGAGATTCTTGCCTACTCGGCCAGTCAGGCGGATTAACTTGATTTAAAATTTCATGATTCTCCAAAAAAACGCATACAAGTAAGTCTTAACTTTTATTAAGCTAGACGTTACAGTTACACACCTATTCTCTGAACTACTTCAATTATTTTAAGTCAGCTTTGGACAATTTGTCATAAATGTACATTAAGATTTTCCCCAAAGTACTTCACTTCCTTCCCCAATCAGTAGGCATGAACTCCATGAAAAATATGTGAGATGAATTGGACCGTCGTGCGCGAAAACACTCAATCTCTTCGGTCCAAGATCTGAAAAACAGACTACAAGAAGAATGTAGTAAGATCCCTGCTTCCTACGCAAGAAAATTATACAAAACATGCCAAAACATTTAAATGACGTTATTAAGCAAAAAGGATACAACACCAAATATTAATTTTTAATATTATTATGTTTTTTTCCTTACTCACATAAATAACCCAACATTAATGTTGTTCGAGTTGTTGAAGTTATTTAATTTTGTTGTGTACTGATTTTGTTTGTTTTTTTTTTTTTTATATATTAATATGTATTTCCTAGTAATAGAAAATAGTAAAATAAATTTTTATGTTTGGACGATGGACTAAGTTTAACAAGTGTTTATTTTTTCTCGCGTGAAAATACCAATATTAATGAGAGTCACTGTACACATTTCGATGTCCGATTTATCGATGTGTACAATTCGTTTTTATTTCAACGTAAAGCCATCCATTTACACTTTTCCGTTGCTGCCGTTAACTTAGTATACTCATTTCAATTCTTTGTTGCCATTAAGTAATGCTGTATATATACTGGTGATTACGGCCATTTGAGCAATTAACGAAACTTGTTCAATTGTTTAGCCTATGGACAATTATCGTAAGGCTTGACAAGCTTAGCGTTCATATTTCTTTTGCTTTCGCACCTTCCTGTTGGTCTTCGGGTTTCTAAGATTGAGGGCTACACAAAAAGAGGTCACAAATGTATAACTCACCGTCGATATCACATTTAAGGAGGTGTTTTACAATTTAATTTATGACGATTTAAGAAAAGAGTAAGAGTAAGTAAGAGAAAATTAAAAGTATAAATCCAGCCTGCAAGGGTTTGCAGATAACAGAAAGTATTTATGTCCGCATGAAAACGTTGCTCAAGTCAGTTTAGTAAACAACAAGAAATTGGATCACCAGAAATTTAGATTAATTTAGAACCACATATTTTATACCGTTTATCAACTATGCGTTTTCCAAAATTTTCCGGAAATTATTCAGAAAAATAATCCTGTATTGGTCTGCTCCAAAATTTACTTGGCAATGAGGTTAAAAAAGGTTAAGCATTGGATTTTAAGTTCTCAGCTTAACTTAATCTCAGAGCCTTTGGTACGAAAACTCAATTTGAAAAGAATCAATTTTAGGCCTTATTGCTATTAGAGATCATAAAGGGCCTACCGCACAGAAGGTACTTACGTCGGTACATTTCTACTTATACTCATTCAGAGTCATTAGAGAACTCTATACTTGTAAACGAATCCCTATATTCTAAAGCAGGACAGAACGCGGATGTAGCCTCCCACATTTGAGAAGTTCCAAAACAGTCAGTGCGCATTGACACAACAATTAAAACCATTTTCGAGACTGAGGCTATGTCTGACTAATAAATATTATCTCTGGGATACCAAAAACTCGAACAGCAGAGTTTCAGTCAGAGTCAGAGTTTCCACCAAAAATGTAGCGAATTGTCGCTTTAGAGTCACATTACCGTTTAAAACTAACTTAACATGGGGTTGGCGAGAGATTCGAAAGTGTTAGAAGGCGATTCTTATGTTTAGACCGCCGTTTATTAAATTATAGTGAGAACTTTCTTCAATATATCACACACCACAAAACGGATCATACTCTCGAGGAGAAATTTTTTTTCCAAATTTATGGGTGATGAAATTGGATTGGAACGAGATAGTTTCTATCAATATAGAAACAGAATGGCCTAAAATTGAAAAAAACGTTGCAAAGTTACACACAGTATTAACTAAAGTGAACATAAGACCATCAGCACAAGGGCATATGGATGTGGTTTACATACTAGAAGCACTAGAGGTGCCGACGAACATGCAATGGTGTCCATAGCAGCATGCTTGCTGGCAATCAATTTTCATATAAATTTAAAGCGTGATAGCACGTTGACAAAAAAAATCTGAATATATTAAGCATGCTGTCGCAAACAACATAACGACGCTTATATCGACGCTTTTAAATGAACTTTTTTATTTCAAAACTCTTTTCAAATAAATTTACTAATATGAAACTGTATGCTAAAAATTACAGATCTTTGCAAATAAATTGTTACTCTCTGCAACAATAGTTGTACCTAAGAGGTTCAAATATTGTGACACGTGTTCAAAATTCAGCACAATTAGTTTTTATGTCAAATTACCATTATGGGTCGAATTTTATTATAACATAATAAAACTTAGAGTTCTCCGCCCTAAAAAACAAAAACTTTCGTAAAAATCCTTATGTAGAGTTGGATTCAAATATGGGCGTACATGGTCCAAATTTTATAAAGTTAACTGTTGTATCAAATTGCTAGTGTAGGTATTTTCATGTACAGGAAATACTATTGTGGAGTGCTGAAATGTTATTACTTACCCACTTTTTTCGAAAAATTTTGAAGTCCGTGTAAGGACTTTTTAAAATAAAACGTCATATGGAGACTGTTCGAAAAAGTGAACCGATTCGAATCATTTTCAATAACGTTCCTCCTTGGTTCAAAACACCTCAATGTGTGAATTTTCATTAATATATCTCAACAATTGCGACCTATAATTTGAACATGTGAAAACATCGAACAGGTAGATAGACAGATGGACAGAGAGGCTTCAATCATTTTCGGAGTCAATCGATATAACAAAAGGTGGTTCTTAAGCCCACCTAGGTGTTACCTACGCCCGCACAAATTTATTATACCACCACACCACAAGGGTGTATGGTATAAACATCATACCTTACTAATCAGCAAAAAGTTTGATCGATTTTATTAAGAAATTGTAAGAGAGCATTTTCCATTTATTCTTGATTTTCTAATTTACAAATTTCACGAGAAAGTTTAGTATACCTGGAGTACAACATACTCCTTTCCTTAACTAGCACAGATTCTGTAACCTCTATAAAGATATCCAAATTCTGAAAATTAATCCTAACCTTTTCGTTACTATGAAGGGAGACAATTTTCAAGATCAACCGAATTATAGGTGCCGAAACTAAGCTTAAATACATAATTTGTAACTTCGATCCCATGTCGATAAAATTTCTGCCACAAATGATATTAAATCCATCGCAAGCGCAAAAAGGAAGTTCTTAAATCGAAAAACCTACAGATCAGCGCAATGTAGTGATATAGTTCTCAATTTGCGGCTCATGGAGCAATGCTTGATAATGTAAAGACTATTGAAAATAGCACCAAAGGACCTTTGGACGGGATTGCTGAATAAGACAAAAGAAAATTTCGTCATAAATTGCCACAATTGCCCAGCCTGTAAGCATTAAAAAAACGTTTTAAAGATTATGTTTGAGTTTGATTTAGAAATCGCAGTTCTGAATCATTCTCTTGTTATGTTGTTATTTTGTTGTTAATCAAAAATAGTTACGCAGCAAACACTTCATAAGAAAATAATATGTAACACAGAGGTAGCCGATCGCAATTTATTTTTAGTAAGATTCGAATTTTTACTTAACAAATTTATTAATGAATTTCAGGTTTACTAATTTAGCAGGGTTTATCGGTCCATGTAATAACTTTGTAAGGTCGTAATCTCGAAGAATATACCACCGTGCATTTGCGTGTCGAGTCACTTCGCCGGCTTTCATGTTTTGCATATTCGCGAAAAATCTTTCTACCCAGCCGTTATTTGCCGCGTAAGTCTTTCCATGATGTTGTACAATTATACCATAAACTAATTCACCCGTTACGTAACCAGCATCAGCGTATGTTGAACTACGAAGTTGAAGTAGTAGTAATGGCAAAATATTTAGACAATTTTGCATCAATGTGATATAAATAGTATTGACGACTTTGGAACGAAGCAGCTTGGCGAATTCTCGGACTAGAAAATGTTAAAACTGTTTGCTTTGATCAGTTGTAATTTGAGTTGGGACACCAGATGCAAAAATCCAGCCATAAAGCAAAGCGTTAGCAACACAGCAGCAAAATTTTCCAAACACATGGCCTTCTTATAAGTCGGTAAACAGAATGTGTAATATTTCGAGGAATATAATGGACCAATTATGTCGATGCTTATGGGTTTGAAATGTCCTTCGGAGATGTCTATGTTTCGCA